TAATTTGTATCCCTTCCGTTTGCCTTCCATAACTTTTTACAGGCCACATAATGGCCATCCCCCAACCTCCGACGATCCCCTTTCTCGGAAACGTTACCTCTATCGAGTCAGAGGTTCCACTGCGTTCGTTTGAGCTGCTTGCAAAAAAGTACGGTGAGATCTACCAACTCGACGTGCTCGGTGTGTGAACCTTTCCATCCCACACGCGAAAGCTCACTTGATTAGGATCGAAACGAATTTTCGTCTCCTCTTATGAGCTGGTGAACGAGGTGTCCGACGATACTCGGTTCCAGAAACGGCCTAAGAGTGGGCTTTGGGAAGTCAGGAACTTGACCGGCGATGCTCTTTTCACGGTCTGTTATGGCCGTCCAGCGGCCGTCTCATCTGACATTCTTTTGAAAGGCCAATCCTGAGGAACCTAACTGGGGAATAGCCCGTAGGACCACGTGTTAACCATTTCGCGAGAGGCTCTGACGCTGTATAGATCGGCTGCTTATGCCTGCTTTCGGGACAATAGCGGTGAAGGGAATGATGGAGGAGATGCGGGATATATCCAACCAACTCTTACTCAAGGTGCGTCTCGATTTTGAGTTTTTAATTCATCACAGACTCATCATTCTTCCAGTGGGAACGGTTAGTAGCGGCTCAGTACGCTGCTCTTTTATATGCTTAACACGCCGACATAGATTCGGCCCTGACACTGTCATCGACCCTTCAGATGATTTTACCCGCGTTGCACTGGACACGATTGCGTATTGTTCCATGTCCTACCGGTGCGTTTCAAATTCAGACTCAATACAGTCCCTCTTGAATTTCTGTCAAGATTAAACTCCTTCTACCGGGAGAACCAGCCCGAGTTTGCTGTCGCGATGGCCGACTTTTTAAGAGAAAGCGGCCAGCGCGCCAATCGGCCCCGCGTTGTGCAATCTTTAATGTGGGGAACGACCGCCAAATACCAGACAGACATCAAGTTTATGCGGGATCTCGCAGAAAAGAGTGAGTCTTGCTCCATGCATATGGTGCACATTACAAACCACATCATGCTAGTCGTTTCTGCGCGGAAAGCGCATCCAGTCCCGAAGCACGACTTGCTGGACACGATGCTCAACTCCCGCGATCCCAAGACGGGAGAGGCGATGACGGAGAAGTCTATCTCCGAGAACGTAAGTTGACAATTTCCTCGCCCGTTCTTGTTTTTCAACCATACATAGCTTTTGACCTTCCTCATTGCGGGTAAGCCCAGAAATTGCCACAAGTTTATACACTAACGAGTAAAATACAATCCGCAGGACATGAGACCTCTTCAGGTGTGTTGTCGCTTACCTCGATAGTCGCATGCTGATAGTGACCAGGAATGATGTCGTTCATGATCTACTACCTTTTGAAGAACCCCCAGACGCTGAGAAAACTCCGTGCACAAATCGACGACGTGCTTGGAGCTCGCCCGATGGAATACGACGACATCGCGAACCTTCCTTACTTGATTGGTGTGTGACCGTTTCAGATGCACTGCAGGAGATAATACTCACGGCGGCTCCGCAGCTGTCATGCGAGAGACCCTACGCCTAAACCCGACCGCACCGATCCGTGGCACGACGCCGATAGAGGACACCAAAATCGGTGGAAAGTATGCCGTCAAGAAAGGGGAGAGTATACTTATCCTGCCGGGCTATATGCAAAGGGATCCCGCCGTTTGGGGCAATGATGTTGGTTTAATATATTTCCATCCGAGATATTCCTAGGCTGAAGGTTTCTTGAAGGCAGACGAATTCCGTCCGGAACGGATGCTGGACGGAAAATTCGAGGCACTTCCGGTGAGTTCTATCGCTCCTTTTTTGCAGGCGAACCCAAATTAATTGCGATTTCTAGCCAAACGCGTGGCAACCGGTATGTCACTTTTCTTGTTCGTTTTGTGCCGACTCATCAAGCTCTAAATAGTTTGGATTCGGTGCCCGGGCATGCATCGGGCGAGCATTTGCTTGGCAAGAAGTTTGGTGCGTCTCGCGATTCTCCCAGCAGCTGTAGTTGATCCAATAAACAGCCTCGTGATGGCGTCCATAATCCAGAGATTCGATCTCTGTCTTGATGACCCGTCGTACACGCTGCGTCTCAAGCAAACCCTGACCATAAAGACTCTGGGACTCTACATTCGTGCCTCTCTCCGGAGCACAGGAACCCACCTCTACGCGACACCATCGTCCACGCTGATTTCGAACCATGATTCCGCTCCAGCGGCAAAGAGTTCTGGCGTTCCACCAGCCGATGGGTTGCCTTTCTATGTGCTGTACGGATCGAACACTGGGACGTGTGAGGCGTTTGCGCAACGTGTGGCCAATGAGGCCCCGTCATACGGTGCGTTCCTTGCTCCAAGTTCCCGCAAATGCAAAAATTATACGCGAACACTGCCAGGATTCCGGCCGTCGATTGGCACTTTGGACTCAGCAGCGGGAAACCTACCGACCGACGGACCGGTTATAATTATCACTGCTTCATTCGAGGGCGAGTTGATCGTTCTTCCAAAGTTCAAACCGATTAACGAGACGCGCCACGCCAGGAGAACCGGCAGACAACGCTGTGCACTTCATTGACTGGTTGCGCAACCTCGACGGCGACAAGTTGAAGAACGTCCGCTTCGCTGTGTTTGGCTGTGGGAACTCGGATTGGACGGCGACGTTCCAAAAGATTCCCACCCTCTGCGACGATTTGATAGAGAAACACGGCGGGAGTAGGCTCATCCCGCGTGGCTCGGGCGATGCTAGCTCCGGTGCTTTTTTCCAGAGCTTCGACGAATTCGAGGCGCGGTTGTGGGACACCTTGTCGACGGTGAGCTGCGCAGACCATACCATACTTTGTTTCAACCCTCATTGTCTAACTAAAGGAATATTCGACGTCTCGGTCCGCATCGCTCGTTCAGGCGTTAGAGGTCAAGACGGTGGATGCCGGGCAGGAGCGCGCCACAGCACTTCGGCAAGCGGATGCTCTTCTCGGCCAAGTGGTTGAAAACCGAGTGTTGACAACGGATGGCCCTGTGAAGAGGCATATCGGTCAGTCCGTTTATTCTTTGGGCGCGCCGTTGGCTAACATTAGTTAGAATTCGAACTTCCACCCGGAGTGTCTGCCCGAGGTATTGTTCTCTTCTCTCCCCGTCGGCTGCACTGATTCATCACTGTGCAGCCGGCGATTATGTAGCCATGTGCGTCCTGGCGAATTGCCTCGGGACTCGCTGCTGACCTGGTTCATAGTTTGCCGCAAAACCCGATCCGGGATGTGCGTCGGGTCCTTGCACGCTTCGGTCTGTCCAACGAGGAAGAGGTAACGACCTTACAGGCTGGATATTGAACGGCCGCTTACTCAGGGTCCATGCAGGTGATTCTCTCCTCTGTTGGTCCAACTTCCCTGCCGGTGGGGAAACCTGTCAAATTATGGGAGATTCTGAGCGGATACATCGAACTCTCGCAACCTGCCACCACCAGGGATCTCGGCATCCTCAAAGATGCCGCTACTACGGACAATACCCGCTCTTTTCTTGAGGAGCTGTTGGGCTCCTACAACGAAGCGGTCCTTGTGAAACGACTGAGCGTGTTCGAAATTTTAGAGAGCCACGCTGACATCGCCCTGTCGATCGGCGTGTTCCTGCAGATGCTTCCCTCCATGCGTGTGCGGCAATACTCTATCTCCTCCTCCCCGCTGTGGAACCCGACGCACATTACTGTCACTATCAGTGTTCTCGACGCGCCTGCTCTTGGGAGGAAGGCGCCTCCGTTCCTTGGCGTAGGCTCGAATTATCTCGCGGGTTTGATCCCGGGTGATCGCGTTCAGATGAGCATCTGTTCGTCCGCAGCCGCGTTCCATCCACCGGAGGACCCCTCGACGGCGGTGGTAATGTTTTGCGCTGGGTCCGGCATTGCACCGATGCGTGGTTTCATTCAGGAACGGGCGGAGCAGAAGGCATCCGGTCGCAGCGTCGGCAAAATGCTCTTGTTCTTCGGGTGCCGCTCACCCGACAAGGATTTCCTCTACTCCGACAGCGACCTGGCCGAATGGATCAAATGTGGTGTCGTCGATGTCCGACCGGCGTTCTCTCGCTCGTCCGAGCATTCTGAGGGCTGCAGATATGTACAACAGTCAGTATTCAACGAGTGTTCGTGTAGCTGCTCTAAACTCATCTCGCCCGCTAGCCGAGTCTGGAATGACAAGGCGGATATCATCGCGGCCTACAAAACAAGCGCCTCCGTACGTGCTTCATGCAACCCTCGAGTTGCTCTGACTAAATCAATTCAGTTCTTCACCTGTGGGTCTGCGCATGTTGCGAAGGAGATCAAGACGACGCTGGTCGAAATAATCAGAGCGGAGGATAATGTCAGTCTCGCTGAGGCGATGGCGAAGTTCGAGGAGATCACCAAAGGGAGATACGCCACTGATATTTTTGACTGAGTGTGAGTAAACCCTGGGGAAATCCGTAGCTTCACACTACCTTGCATAACCCCAGCGCTAAGGAACGACACTTAGAATATCTCGACGGACAAGAATCCGGACTCTCACAGTTGCTCGCCAAATCAATGGAATTGGATGTTGTTCTCTCTCTCTTTCAACATCGACACTGGGTAGGTATTGTGATATGATGCAGCTCCACCGTGTATCGTAGTTCTACTCGGGGTTGAACATGCAATATAGTTCTTAAACAGGGCTCACTAAGCATCCCGCGCTAGCATCCATGAATCAGTTAGCCGTTGTTGGTATCGAACCCGTTATTGAACGATACAATGTGGGGCCACGAACAATGCAAGAGTAATCCGACTACTGGGGGCGTTCAAATTTTACCTTACGAAGCAGTTAGCACTCAGCAAGTTTGAGTGAAAAAATGTTCTCAGTCAAATCCCTGTTTGGTTCTTCACACAAATGTGGAAGAGCATGTATTCGTCGACGGAGCTTTAAAAGAGCTGGAAATCGATTAATCAAATCCAGATTATGATATTTTGCATGGGGTGCCACTACTACATGGGCGTGTAGTATAGGGGTTATTGCGCTTGCTTCGCAAATACGTCCTTAGCGGCGTACTTCTGTGGGAGAGGTCTTCGGTTCGATTCTGGACTCGTCCATCCTTTTGCAGCCTGTCGCTAGCATCTGAGGCTCATATTTTTTGCTCCTGTGACCCAGGTAGGAGCGCAACAACCCCCAAAATCTGGCTCGATTCGATTGAATTGATCAAGTTCAAAGCTTTGTGTCGTTTTCGGAGCTCGCACAGCACTTTTGTGTGGACCGACACCATCCTACGTGCTGTGGGCAAACAGTGTCTTCCGGCGCGGTCTGAGTAGCTTGGATTCACATAAACTTCCTATTTGGGCCCGAGACGTTGAATCGTTTTGATCTTGCATTTGGGCACGTGATCGACTGGCTTGACCCCAACTTGAGTGTTCGGACAGGGGAAGCACACCTTCTCTTGAAAGGATTGGCTCCATAGACAACTCTATATTTTTTGAACTTCGAAATGTTCCTGCGGCACTCCTCCTTTGGAGAGACGAAACAAAAACACAGGCCCTGTGTGATTATTACCCGACCCCGTATCAGCAAAAGGGCAACTGCAAGCGATATATAATGGTGGGTACTCAATTTTCTGGGTGGGCTCGATTGTTGGCTGGTCTCGTTGACATCGAACTCCCTGAACCTTGTGGTTGAACTTTCCCTGTGGGCGGACTTGCCGGGGAATTGTATCCATTTGACGGGGCCTATCGGGTGCTTATGTGTTTCAGTTCTACCGCATTTACTGTATGGAGAGGGAGGTTGGAGTCTTTGGCGTGTTACAGTCCAACTAGGGATCCGGACCCTTCAGTGGTGAGCAGAAGGGCGGAGATTTGGTTCAATTCCGGCCAAAGAATGACCGCAGTTGAGCTGTGAAGCCCTAACAAATTTGGCCCCAGCTTAATGACACCCCTCGCTCTCACTCGACGACGCCGATGCATATTCACCACTGCATGACAGTCTTGAGACCTGCCCGAGATGGCCGGAATTCAACGCGATGTCTGCAACAAATCTGCATTGCCTACAAGTTACCCACTAGTTCTCGAAAGCGTGAGTTAGATGGTCATTGAAGAGACGGGGCCTCATTGCAACTGAACCCAAGCATCTTGTGTCGGAATTTAAGACACTTCCACCCTTGCCCGAGATGACCGAAATTCAACACAAGACATAAAACAAATTGCTGCTCGCACAGTGAGCCTCCTAGTGCCGCGTGACCTTCATTTGGCGAACTTCCCCTGACGCGCTCAAGTTTGTTCCGTGTATACTTGTGAAACAATGTTTCGCAACTCGCCGGCCGGCACCCTGCATATCTTGTCCATCTTCTCCAGGGTTTTGGATTCACAGTGCTCCTAGCACTCGAGGATTGGAAGGGTATGAATGAATCTGTCGAAGAGAAAAATGAGGCTGTTCCACACTGGGGACAGAATGGCGAATCCGCCAATGTATATCTTCACGCTGCTCAATCACGGTCTCTGGGCCCTTGGGAAGTCAACGGTAATGTTGCTTGGAACAAGGATCAACATAATCGCTTTGAAGCTCTCAGCGCACCGCTCCGTTCGCTAGCTCTGAAAGCTGAAAAAGGCCAGTTGGCTACCCCGGCCATTATCCCACTCGGAGCATCATAGAACATGCTGGACACATCCACGACAATCGGAATGTGCTCTGACCTACCGGAATCTTGCATCTCAAGCCTAAGACAGTTCAAATAACGATGAGTATGTACTAAATTGCGGGACAGTCTAATCTTGGGTCGACATGTAGATATTTGGAAAGTTAAGTTTGAGTGATGATTTCCGACCAAATGAGTAGGTTTAATACTACACTGTGTGGACGAAAATTTTTGGCAACTGTTGGACCACTGCAACATGCTTCTGCAACCACGAAAGTGACTTGCCGTGAACGCTGACGGCAGAAATAATCCGCAAACTTGCCAGCAGACAACCCGCCTCAATACAAACATCAACCAAGTGGCAGAGGTCGCAGTCGCGGTAGTCAAGACACATCACCTATTTTTAATCCGATTCCATGAATGATAAGCGATGTCAAAGAAGGTGTCGGCCTCAGATGCAGCATTGGCTGGCAAACAAATTTCTCTCCATATCCGAGATGAACATCAAGTGACTCGACAGTGAGACCGCTTTGCACTCGATGTTCTGTGCGACGGCGACGACATTCTCGGTGGGGGTATCAATTCGTAGTGACTGCCAGCGGTCGGAGGCGGCCATTATTTTCTGAAAGATGTCCTGGAACTTCGCTGTCCCATCGCGACTACGATTGACACAGCGAGGGATATCCAGGAGGATACGCAGTGGCATGTCATTGGATCGCAAGAGGAATTCATCGACCAATTCTACGGTGGCAGACATGGAATCTGCGATTGGGATGAAGGTCCAAAGACCTGGAAGATTCCACGGTATATCACACCATTGCGCGCAGATCAGCACAAGGGTGTGGAGAACAGGTCTCCGAGTCTTCCTTGTCATGGCGATCGTAACGGAAAATGCTTGGGTGAAAGAGAAGATTAAGCAGATGATTTCGGTTGGAAGGGACAGGATTCCGGGGGGAAGGGCTGCAACGGTGCCGGCGGACTGCATGGTGGTGAGTGGCAAAAGTGAAAGATGGCTGTAACACTGTCACACGTTTATCAAGGACATTGCCGAGATGCTACAGGGTTTGTTATCAGATGTATCATGTATGTGCTTTCCTTACCAAATCATAGGCTACAGAATGTGACAATAAAAGGTCCAACTTGACCGTGATTTTCATCATATTTTCGGAACCACCGAATCCGATTTCAAAACTTAGGGATATGTAGTCAAGGGATAGTAAGAAAGCGAGTGTGTTGCATGAGATGGAACCGTGAGTTGAATGTCAACTATTGATCTTACATGCGCAGTGACTTGGCAGTGACTGAAAGTCGGTCGGGTAAGTTCAACCGTGAGAGAGTACGTCGGCCGGATGGCATCTAAGACGTATACACGAAGGAGTGCGGTTGCGGTCGTTGGAACGAGGAGACCCCACTCGTATTTGGATCGACCGGGTCACCGAAATCGGGTGACCGCTCGATTGCCGATTCGGCCAGGTCACCCAGTTGGGTGACCGCGGTGAGGTCCAGGATAGGGGGTCAATTACCATATATATCATGTCCATTCCCGTTGATTTCTCCGATCCATGTCCGCGTCCCCCAAAGCTTTACTTCCCCAAACTTATTTACCTGTGAAAGTGCCGACGGCTAGTCACGGTGGGTGAGGCATCATTGATGCGATCCTGTCATACGTGGTCTTTCGTCGGCTTTCTCTTTACTCCCATGTCGACAATCTGGTTTCCGCTTCACTGACCCGGAGCTCCTTGTCAAGTCCCAATTCACGCTCTTGCAGACTTCCTGGCGTCCCGCTACAGCTCTGGAAACCCATACTGAAGAAGGAGCGCACCATGCCGTCCTGCCGCGCGACTCACCGCGCTCTCCTTGCTGCTTCGGGACTCATGCTAGGGACACACGAAAGTCTTTCGCCGCGGCCCTTGTACTTGGTATCTGGTGCCTCATTGAGTCACTCTCGCCCACACGCACCACACGCGCCCGCCGCATACAATTATGGCAAGCACAAGACGGGAAAACCTTCAATCACTGCTTCGACCTCCAACTCGATGTCTTCAGTCCACATCACTGCTGTTACAAGACGCTGGTGCCGCCGCCGCCGTAACTTCCCCATCCTCCCACTCGAAAATAGCGGTCACTCGCTGCCTTCTTGCTGGTCTTATCAGGACTGTTGCGTGCTCACCCCGCTTCATAACATTTCCAACCCCGTGGCAAGTATTTGCAAGATCTATCACGGCCGAGACCGTACCTCAGATGTAGCTATCTGATCTGGTGGTTGCGCAGGGCGAATATGACACCTCGAAAGAAGATCGGAGGGACAAAAAAAAAAAAGACGAACCCGTGCGATACCCGCACATGTCGTTGCCTTCCAGCTTGTATTCTACCCTTTGCCCTTCCTCCCTTCTGCTGCGACTCCTCAAGCTCATGATCAAGAGACACCTCCCTTCTAACCCTGGCATCCTCCACTCGTATTGCAGCTCGTCAAATCTGGATGGGCCTGAATCAATCTTGAATGTGTCAAATGTGTTTGGGGCGGCGTTGACTACAGGCACCAAGCATAATTGAAATGAACAGCGTACCTACCGATGTTGAACGTGTTTAAACACGGATTATCCTGTCCATTGCGCCGCGAACAACGGCAATTTGAAGGACTGGGTGCATTGAAGCAGCAAGCCGAACACTGTCAGTATTTGCCGGGAAAGAATTTAGCATTGGACACCTCCCACGGCCTCGGCTCAAACTACGGTCTAACGACTTTACCTGCCTAAACGGCTTTTGCGCAACGGCACTGAGAATAAGTAGTGCGTGCGCTCAAACTTCAGTTCTGCCTCTTCCGGCGCAAAGACAATCGTGCATCGGCCAATGCGCCAGATTTCTTTTAGGACTCAAGGAGCTGTCTTCATTTTTCTCCCCCGTGATGCCGCGAGCAGACTGATCGTTGTGATAAGTTCTGCTTCGAAAAAGACGGGAAAAGCTTCAGGTGGGGACCCCAAACAAGCAGTGAGAATACAGGAAGCAGCATCCGACCTCAAAAATTGCCGTCTCTTGGTTGGCTTGCGCCGCGATGCCGTACTAAAATTCATTGGTTTGAATGAGGAGAAAGTCACACTACAAGTGGTCAAGAGATTCCCTCCGATGTTGCTTTCTGCAGACTGCAAACGTCGGAAGGTCTAAGGATCCAAGTCGGTGTGGCGGAACTGAACTAAGCATCATGGCTGGCAGGGAAGTTGCGTGCGAAATGTCTCCGGTAAAACATCCCGCCTCTTTCCCGTTGGTCTACCTTTGAAGACCGGGGATTTCATACCGCATCCTAAGCAATAAAATATCCTCAGCTGAATCAACATCCAGCTATATCACCTGCCCCGCAAGGGCTTTTCGTAAGCTGCACGCATGACAGGGTTCGTTCCACAATTGTTAAACGATGTAAGCTAAATCGATCCTGCGGATATTTTGCCTGTATCCATGTGTGTAGAAAGAGAGCTCAGTGCTTTCGATGTGCTCTTGCCCTCACAGTGAATTGAAGAGTTTTGCGAAGTTGAACCACATACCATAAATGGGTGGAGGTGTTGAATTGCGGCCGGAGACAACCATAAGAGGAAATACAATGAGTGACCCACTCACCAAAAACACGGTGACCGCCGGCGATCAACGATCGAGGCAGGGATAAAAGGGCGGTGACCCACCCGCCAAACGACTCTCGGCACGCCTTGAGCGGAGTTTGAAATCAGTGATCACAGTGATGATCGAGCCCAATTGGGAGGGACCGGGTCACCGAGGGGGCGATCGGTCACCGAACTACGGTATAGAACTCACGCTCCTCAACGCTGCGCGCTGCCCCAGACGATGTGATGACACTGATGTGCAAACTTTGCTGAGGTGGCGTGCAGTAGTGGCCGCAATGGAGGCACGGAACAATTGGATTGAATTTGATAGTGGAGCCGGTTGGCAATGATCAAAGAATGGGCGAACAGCAAAACACGAGAAAGGAAGCTACCCATGACCCCTGCCCGGATTGAACGGACGGCCTTCGCGACGCTGTTTGCCCACTGGAATGCGACGCTCTACCACTGAGCTAAGGGGTCTTGAGGGTGCTGTCCGCGGGTGTAGATACGACTGAGGGGATGGGTCACAATCGAACCGTTAGTACACCGCTGGGGCCAAAAAAAAAAAAAACTGGAAAAGCAAATATGTGAGGGCGGGAATTGCCCAAGATCTGCAAGCGTTGTTAACGCTACGGGACTTGCAGAGCGTGAGTAGATTTGTGGAGATGTTGAGCGGAGGGAAGAAGAATCAGGATTGACTATGAGGTTGCTTCTGCAATTATAACACCAAGGAAAGTCGACCAAGGTGCGGACAAGACAAAACCGCTCAAAATTATCTCATTGCCCGGGTTCGACGGGGCTTGGCTCAATGTTGATCTGGGGGGACAGATTCCGGGTCGGACGCTTCAGGTTTTATTGGGGAAAATAGACTGGAGACGCGTGGATGACAAAAAAAAACCAAGTGCCTGCAGAAGTGCCCAACCTCGAATCGAACGGGCCTCTTGCATACACTACAAAACCCCCCAAATAGCTAAAGCAGGTGCACACCATGTGCTATCGGGTGTTCTCCTCCCTTGTTGGATGGTTGAATATATGGCGGACTTCCGGGGAATGTTTTCGAGCTCAAGGCTAACCTTACAGAGTCGCACTCAAGTCGTCAGGCAACGGAAACACAAGTTTGATGCAATCTGTAGAATTGAATCAGAGATCTAGAGGAAAAGAACCGACACAGACGGACGCTGGCCGAAAAGAATGCGCTAGCGTATTACCCGACCCCAAATCGAACGGCCTCCCGCGTAATGCCAATGCGAACCGTTACATGTTGCGCGGGTACACACTAAGTGCTATCGGGTGTCCTCCTCTCCTGTTGAAAGGCTGAACATATACTGGACGACTGGCGAAGCGCTGGGGGTTGGATCTGTGGTTGAATTTCTGCACCTAGTTCGTGAGCAGCGCCTGCGATCTGTGGAATTCAACGAATCAGCGAGGGATTGTGTTCTTCTACGATCCGGTCGACGACTCGATGAAAAGGAGGCCGCAAAATCACCCGACCCCGGATCGAACGGGCCTCTTGCGTATTTTTGGGAATCAACTCGAACTAAAGCAGGTGCACACCGTGTGCTATCAGCTGTTGAGTGGTTGGATTCATATTGCGCTTACGGAAACGGGACTTGCAAAGTGGAGTTAAATTTGTCCTGAATCTTCTGCGCGTACAGTAGTTGCTGAGCAGTGGAACACAGGTTTGCTGCAATCTGTAGAATTGAATCGGTCAGGGCATAGACAGAGGCGCCGCTCCAAAAGAAAAAGAAAAAAACAGCCTTCGCTATAATAACACTGTCAGCACCCGACCCCGGATCGAACGGGTCTCCTGCATATACCTCTCCATTTTCATATCGTAGGTAAAGCAGACGCACACCATCTGCTATCGGGTTTCTTCATCCCTTGTTGGAGTGCTGAATTTACGCTGCACCTCTCGCCGCATGTCATGCGAGGGTGGTTGGAATTGTTGGTGTGGTTGAATAACACGTTGGCGCAAGACTTGAGAAGATCGCGCGCTGCCCTGCTATTTGTAGAATCAGATCAGCGAGGGCATTGCATACGGTGCGGACAAAAGAAAAAACCGTACTTCAGACTCCCACGGGCCTCCTGTGTATGCTTCCAAAGTCTCGCGTCCGAGGTAAGGCAGGCGCACACCGAGTGCTATCGGGTGTCTTTCACCTCTGCTGGACGGTAGAATTTGCCCTGCACTTCTTGCCGCGTACGATGCGGTCCAATTCGTGGGTACCACTGAGAAAGACGGCTCGGTATTCGCGAGCGGGAAGCGCGACATCCAGACCTGATCGCGGACTTGCGGGGAAAGTTTCCGAGTTCAACACGGACCTTGCGAAGTGTGGTTGAATTTTGCACGCCAAGTCTTGAGCAGCGCAAACATAAATTGGGACAAGCTAGCAGTAGCTGCAATCTGTAAGTGGAATTGAATAAGCCCGATCATGGACGGAGAGTGTTGGCAAAAACTTTCTCGTCACTTGAAGTCGGTGCGGGCTTTTGAATTCGGAGAGCGTGGGTGGGGTTTTATATTCCATGCGGGCTATCACAATTGTGGAACCGCAGACAGGTTTCTCAATTCTCTGCGCGCGGGCTCAACGGGGGGAGGAAGAGTGCTGAAGAGGGAGGATTGTCGTCGAACGAATGGAGAACGGAAAAGAAAGGTAAAGATTTGGGGCACCCGGCGTTGATCCGTCAACGGTGTCAAGGGAAGGAAGAAGGAGGGGGGGATTGCTTCCGTTGTGGGGGATTTTGTTCTGGGTATACGGAGACATAACAAGAGGCACGGAGGGTTACTTGGGAAAAGACCATTGTTGACAGGCTCGAAGACGGCATTGCACTGCGTCCCAATTAAGTTCTCGGAATAAACAGACACGACGGTAGTTGATAGTGGTGAAAAGAAAAAGAAGGAGACAGATACGGAGACAGAGACGGAGACGGATCTTGATATTGACACAGAAAGCCTAGATACGAGAGTGGAGGGACACGTTCCTCGGAGAGAGCCTAAGCACATACTTACACAGAAGAGAGACAGATGCGGGACACCGGAACGCGGGCAACTGGGGCAGGGAGGGGAGGAGGAAGCGTGTAAGGAAAGGCTAAGGTTGCTTGTATCCCGAGACTCGAGAGGGCCAGCTAAGAGCAACACAATTGAGTCGCAGAACGGGAATTGAGAACAGACTGAGATTGATTACAACGGGCGTAAGAGAGAAGGGTAAGAGAAGCGGCGGGACTAGCACATAGGGCGGGATGAACGGATACACCGCACATGGGCGACAGACAGCGACAGACAGGGCCCGGAATTTGCTTGGTGATAGCGCGGCAGCAGTGCGGGGTCAACATAAAAAAATTGACGAGGTACCCTGAGCCGTGGGTGGCGCGCCAGGTGGCGGTAGGGATCGATGAGTACACACATTGGCGGCTCGACGGGGTCAGCGATTGCGATCGACGACTGGTCATGAAAAAGTGATCGCCCCAAAATGTTGAATTCGTGCTTCGCCGAAACTCTGGGTTTCACAATTGAAGGAGAGGAAACGAAAAATAAATGCATTAAGAGGGAATCGAACCCCCGGCGGGTCGAATCACAATGTTATGTAATCCGTTGGCAACGACCCAGGTTACCACTACCCCATTAATGCTGTGCAAGAGAACGCAAAGGGGGGGCACAGGACAGGGGGACATCACAACCGGCAGACATGAAGGCTCGTCCCTATCGTTGTCGTCGCGGTGCAATACATCGAGATAACAGTTATCAGTCACAACAACAGCCCACAACGGTGAAGAGACTCGGGGGGACTGGCGTTACGATATCGCCGACTGCAATGCCGAGGATCTGTTGCAGTCTTATTATCGATATGAACGTGGTCGCACGATATATACTATAGAGGTTTTAAAGAGAGCTCCGGCATTGAGGAGAAATAAAATTGGAAGGTCTAATGTCCAAAGAATTAACTTAGCACTACGATAGAAAAGGGGCAAATGGATGGATACAAGAAACTGGGGGAATGTAATGTGGAAGAGAGAAAAATGATGGTCCAGAGAGGACAGTACAGTGCAGATAGAGAATACATGTGTGTGCAGCAAGGTAGCAGTACAATTATATGACAGCAAGATAGGAGAGAGTAGTACATCCGGTATAGCAGGTAAGCGGGGAGAAGGACGGGAAGAAGAACGCAAGGGAACGGGGACGGGGACGGGGACGGGGCGACGCTAGGGGGAATCCGGATAATCCGGGTACTTGAGCGCTGGATGTTTCCGCAGGAGGGGCCGCGAAGTGCCGCCTGCCTCTGTCGTCAGCCTGCTGATGGCATTGAGCAAGTCTACCCGTCGTAGCGGTTCTGAAACATGGTGAGCACAGCAGCACAGAGAGTCGGCCCAAACGTACTCGTGATGTGATCGTCCTGAAACCGTCGAATTCAGTCGTGGAACCAACATCAGAAAGGAACGGCGCTCACCATTCCAGCCTGGAGACAACGCTCTCGGTCGCCGATCACTGAAGAAAGGTGAGCAGAGAAAGCATGAGGACAGAGAAGATACGCACTGGCATGAGCCGTCAGGGCGATGATTGGTGTCGGCGCCAGATCGTACTGCATCTCGTACTGCCGTATCCGCTGCGTGGCTTCCATTCCACCCATCAGCGGCATCGAGACATCCATCTAGATGATGTTGAGGCACAGTAATCCGAGGGCAAGTGAATACGCACAAGAATGACATCAAACGGCTTGTTCTGCAGAGCTCGGTCCATGAAGGCCTGCAGTGCTAGGCTTCCATTCTCCGCAAGCTCGATGGAATGCCCATACTTCTCCAAGATCTTCAGCGCCAACTTTTGATTCACCAAGTTATCCTCGGCCAAGAGGATGTCATAGGTGACATCGGTCGCAGCAGACGCTGGATTGACCGTGTTATTTTCTAACGCGGAGAGGAGGACGGAGGAGAGGTCCAGCGCCGTTATCGGCGTCGTGTTGTGCGCACTGATGCCATTCTCCAAGCACCATTTCACTGATTACGTCAGCAGATATATTGGAAAGACCGGATGGAAACTCACTATTGAGGCGCGGTAACGTGGGCGCGAGAAGGGCGATAGGGATATATCGCAGATGCTCGTGTTCGCGCATGTTCTCGGTCTGAAAACGGCTCGTGAGGATGTAACCAAGGTGAAGACTACACTCACGACGGGCAAGGAATCGACGATGATTGTATCGATGTGAGGGCACTTCTCCTTGTCGGATACTTCGCTGACGTCGTGCACGACGACAGGTACTAAACCCAGCTCGGAGATACGCTCCTCCACGCCGGAGGGATCGTGCAGTGTGTCCACGTAGAGAATCGTCCGCTTCGTGAAGGGCGACAACTTCAGGAGCGTCGCATCCAGCGATTGTTGCTGGTTAATCTGCGACGTAATGGTGAAGTAGAACCTGCTTCCCTTGCCGAGCTCGCTCTCGACCCAAATGTCACCCTGCATGAGCGACGTCAGGCGCTTGGAGATGGAAAGCCCC